AGGATGTTTCAAATGCATACTTGTTAAATTCAGACTAGATTATTAGATCAGTTGATTAAAATGTTCGAAAGATTTAAAAAATAAAATTTTTAACATTTTGGTTTTAATAAGATTTAATTATGTCAGTTGAGTCAATTAAAAGATTTAATTGTGTCAATTCAATCAATTAAGTTTTAAAATTTTTAAAATATTTATTTTAATCTTCAATTTTATTTATATTGTGATTTGATTCATCAATGTATATAAAGAAATAAAATGAGAGAATGAGACGACAAAGTCCATTCGATTACTTTAACTATCGATTTTTGTGTCGATTTGTTTACCTTCAAAATGAGAGTTTGTTATGATAGTCTTAAATTATAAAATAGATGGAAAAAAAATTGATATTCCAAAATATTCACTTGAGTTCTTGAATATAATTTGAATTTTTGAAAATACTTTTTGAGTAATATGTAAAATTAAAAAGTGAAAAAAAAAAACCAGAGAATTGATAGTTATAAGTGTGCTAAGCTTATGCATAAGGACTAAGCATGTATGGCTTAGACACAAAAATATCTATTAAGAATAATAAAAAAATAATTTATGTATTTTATTTATTTATTTATATATAGTTAAATTTATTGAAATTGATTTTATAGGTGCTTTTTTTTAATTGTAAATTGACTATGTATGGACAAACAAAACACTTAACATGTACTATTTTTAATTTATTTTTGATATTTTCAAATCAATTTCTCTCAAATAAGATAATTAAAATTATGTTTTAAAAAAATATGTAATGGTATCATCCTTTTTAAATAGAGTTTTTTATAATTATATTATTGATTATTAAATTAAAGCCCCCAATTTGACCGGTAGTCTTAAAGGGGACCTTGAGTTTCAAAGTATGACAGGAAAGAGGACTTGTCTAGCTGACTATATAGCTCCTTCAATACTTAAATAAGGAGGATGAATGAGGCAGCACCTGAAGAAACAACAAAGTTAACCATGGAAGAAGAAAACTCTGCTAGTTCTAGGCAATTCCTAAGCTACTCTCTTCTTCCATGCGTTGTGTTTCTTCTTCTTTCTGCCAAGTTCTTGCTACAGAAAAGAAAGCAAATCAATCTCCCACCAAGCCCGTTTGCTCTTCCAATTATAGGCCATCTTTATCTCCTCAAAAAACCTGTCCACAGAACATTTGCCTCTCTGGCACAAAAGTACGGTCCAATATTTTCTCTCAAACTCGGATCCCGCCTTGCTGTTGTCGTATCTTCACCGTCAGCTGTGGAAGAATGTTTCACCAAGAACGATATTGTTTTGGCCAACCGTCCTTCTTTTTGGAGTAGCAAGTACTTAACTTACAATCACACCACCATGGGCGCAGTTGAATACGGTGATCATTGGCGCAACCTTCGCCGCATAAGTGCTCTTGAAATCTTCTCTCCTTCTCGCCTCACTTCTTTACTTGGCATCCGAAGAGACGAAGTCAAGCTTTTACTGCGCAGACTTTACCGTGTTTCCAGCCATGGTAGTTACGCTAAGGTAGAGTTAAGATCAATGCTTTTCGACTTAACGAGTAATATTATAATGAGAATGGTTGCAGGGAAGAGGTATTATGGCGAAGATGTTAAGGAAATTGAAAAAGAAGAAGCCAGGAAGTTTAGGGAGATTTTGGAAGATTTTTTTGAATATATTTCCAAGAGAAATATGGGGGATTTCATTCCAATGTTGCAGTGGTTTGATTTTACCGGGCACATGAAGAAGTTGGATAGACTGAGTAAAAGGATGGATCTGTTCTTGCAAGGATTGATCGATGAGCATCGAGAAGACAGAGACAGAAACACTATGATAAACAGTTTTCTTACTTTGCAGGAACAACATCCTGAATATTACACGGATGAATTGATCAAAGGCCATGTTCTGGTTAGTCAAATCTAACTCTTTTTCTGTCGATTGATCATCATAATTTGTGGGCTAAAAGGGAAAAACTTCTCGTAAACTTTAATCTATTTAAAAATTAGTTTCTTGACTTTTAATTTCTATTTTGATGTTTTTTAATTTTTTTAAATTAAATTTATCATTCATTTTTTTTATCATTTATTCAAAAAAAGAATAACTATTATATAAATAGTTCCATGATGGAAATTATTTAACCAGATTTATTTAGAACTTTCTAAAAATTTTAAAATCATTCCAGTTAAGTATTTTTTTATTTTTTTACAATTTTTTTATTTTTAATATTAAAAAATAAAAAATATATATTACTTTCGAACTTAAAAAATTCTGAAATTTTTTTTATAAAATAGATTGGTTTTTTCTCAATGTGTATGCAAAATTTCACATTAAAATAGTAAAAATTGTTAGAGGAAAGGGGTGATAGGTGAAAAAACATAGAATAGATTAAATTTAAAAAATAAAAATATTCAGAAAGGTAATGATTTACAGACATCTAATTGTCTCAATTTAAACCACAAAAATATTTTTTGTCAAAAATCAATACCGTAAGAGTTTCTAATTAATATCAATAAACCAACTTAAGTTCCGGGAAAACGATTTTCCAATGTATAAAATGACAAGATGGGAACTTGTAGAACACAATTAATGTTGCTGGCAAATGCTACTGACCAATGCACTGTGGGATTTGAATATCATGTGTTTTCTTTTTTCTTTTTGAACTATTGGTCAAAAACAAAAAAAAAAATCTAATTTTTTTCTAATTTAAGCTTCCAATCTTTTTATTTTGATACGTAATTAACTATTTTATTCTGTTAAGTAATTTCAGTGATATAAAAGACACATGAAGCCGTTAAAACAACAATACATATTGAAAAAATCCTAAACACAAAACACATGTCGTTAGTTAATGACTTTGCCTATCTTTCAAATGTGTTTAATTTTCTTTTGAGCAACATGTTTTGTGTAGGTGCTGTTGCTTGGGGGAACAGAAACAGTTGCTACAGCTATGGAATGGGCATTATCCAATTTGCTCAACCATCCAGAAGTGTTAAAGAAAGCTAAAACAGAAGTAGACACTCAAGTTGGAGATAAGCACTTGATAGATGAGTCTGATTCTGGAAACTTGCATTACCTTCAAAGCATCATCTCTGAGAATTTACGTTTATTTCCTGTAACACCCCTTATTCCACCACATATGCCATCCACAGACTGTACCATTGGAGGATACAATGTCCCAGCTGGGACAATATTGTTCGTGAATGCATGGGCTCATTCATAGAGACCCTACGTTGTGGGATGATCCCACAAGTTTTAAGCCTGAGAGGTTTGAAACTGAAAGAGTTGATGGATACAAGTACGTTCCATTTGGGATGGGAAGGAGAGCTTGTCCTGGAGATGGCCTAGCAAACAGGACCATGGCCTTAACTTTGGGATCATTGATACAGTGCTTTGAGTGGGAAAGGGTTGGTGAAAATAAAATTGATATGGCTGGGAAGACTACAATGGCCATGTGCAAAGTTGAGCCCTTAGAGCTCTTGTGTAAACCTCGCCCATTTCTAAACATGCTTCTCCCTTAAGTCATATATATATATATATATATATATATAGAAGAAAAATAAATTTCAAGAGAGTGCATGCGATATTATATGTGTTCTTTTTTTCAAATAATAACAAATTGCATCTTCAAATATTAGACGCATTCTGACACTAGTATAGCTAGAGAAGTGATAGATTTAGTTTTTGTTGATACAAAATTTAGATATCATTAAAAAAATAAAAAATAAATAACTAAAAGGTCGTTTAGTGTATACCATCTAGATAAGAAAAGAAAAATTTGCTTTTAAACTTATTAGATTTAGAATTTTAAATCTAAATATTCTCTAATTTTGTTGGTGTGATGGTTCAATTTGGAGATCTTTTGTTTGATGGTTTTGTGACTTTTTTTTTTTTTTGTTTAAGCAAATGCAATTAAAATAAATCATTCAAAATAAATGGTCAAGATTGATAAGTGAAGGACATAATTTGAAATTTTTGAAAAGTTTAAAGTAGCAAATTTGGAGGAAAAAAAATCATTAAAATCTCCGTCTCCATTTTTGTTCCGCATATATTCTTTCAAAAATAAGGTACATAATTTTCATTCATTTCTATCTTCGGATTTTTGTCTGTGTCTTCGATAACCAAATATAATGTTTTCTATTTCGTACCTGTTTATTTCGCTTTGTGCTTTCGAACCATAATTTAAAAAATATCCATTACCATGGAATAAAACAAAAAGAAACGAATTTAATTTTCACATAAAATTTATTGTATATTTACTCAGTACATTAAAAAAGGAAAAAAAATGGATCAGAGAGCCAGTCTAGTTTTTGAGTCATTTTTCGAAGAGTAATGAACCACACAGAGACAATAAATGACCAAAAAGTTGTGTTAAATTACAATAGATGCCACTATTTTTCTTCTTTGAAATTTAACAACGAAGTGAAATAAACCAACGATGCGTCCATAAAAAAATTATCCTAAATTGAACCATCACGCCAACAAAATCATCGAACAAAAGATCCCTAAATTGAACCATCAGACCAACAAATATTTAGGATTATAGGTTCTATCAGGAACGTTTATACATAAATATAGGAACTTTCTTTCTTGCCGCTTCGTCGGGTGCTGTAATGAATACAAATATTTGCCCCAAAATACACTGAAATACATATAGATGTACATGTATTTATACGTATTTACATACGCACATATGTATGTGTATAGATAGATAAAGAAAGAAGGATAAGAGAAGAGAAAGGAATGGAACTTAATAACCAGTTAAAAACGTATGTGAAACAAAAGAAGTAGAAAACACAACTTAAGGATCAGAAGTGCTTCCAGTTATAATAAATGTAACTGGCATTAAAAGCAGAAAATTTGGCACCGAAAATGCATTGAAAGTAGAATCTCAAAATGGATTAGTTCGAGGATAACAAATGATCAAAATCAAACCAACAGTTGAGCAAACCAGAAGACTATTTTAAACGGGAATGGAACTAGCAAGTTGATCTATCCTACGCTGCAAATCAAGCCTTGAGCCGACCATAGAACTTGGACTTTTCCTCGGTTGTCTGGAATCGACCATGGCCAAACTTGGAGGATGTATCAATGAACTTGAGCTTGATTTCCTCAAGAGCAAGTCTAGATGTCTGCTTCAACAGTGACTGCCTCAATGTTACCACACGCTTCTTGGGGCCCACACAGCATCCTTTTATCATCAAATAATCTTCCTTCACCACCCCGTAATGAGGAAATCCTCCCATTGGTGTAACATCCTTTTCAGTCCTGTTTTTTCAGACCAGATATCAACTTATTGTGAGAAAATGCAGAAACTCCCCAACATCAAACAATCATGCGAATGCTGAAGACCAAATTAAGACACACTAAAACGACTGTTAGAAGGAACAGAGAAAATAAATATTTACCTGTCATATTCAGTACTTGCAGAATGAGACTCCTGGCCAGACTTCCCAAGCTTGTAAATTTTCTTGTTCAGCTCTGTGCGGTGATGGTAACCATTCTGCCCAGCCCTTGCAACTGTAAATGAGACCCTAGCTGGATGCCATGCACCAATACAAGCTACCTTGCGAAGACCACGATGAGTCTTACGAGGGAGGCGAGTCACACCCCAACGAGTGACCACACCTTCATAGCCTTTTCCCCTTGTTACACCAATGATGTCAACCATTTCATCTTTCTGAAAAACACCATCAATAGGAACCTGCTTCTCAAACAAACTGTAAGCAAAGTCAACCTTCTTTGCAGCATCCCCACCATTGACCTGGATTTCCATCAGATGTGCCTTCTTCTGTTTCAGCCCTTTCATTTTCCTAATCTACAGAAATCATGCAAACAAACAGTACCAGCTTTAGATATGGATTCAATTCTCTGTCAGCTAAAGTCTAAATCATGCCTCAATAATGCCAAATAAGGAAGCAAACGAGCATCAAGAAATTGCCTCTATAAATTAAGATTTCCAAGACCATAAGATTCCCAAAAGATCACCCAAAGCTTAAGACATTAGCAGTTAAATGTTAGCTGGTGATGTCCCAACTTCAGATTCCGTTAATGACAGTTCAGTAATTTCTAAATCAAGATATTAATATATAGTGTCTCATGAAGTAAAAACAGAAAAATAGAAAGACAAACTCAATCAAAAGATGATGCATGTAGAATACCTGAGTATGAGCCAACACACGAATTACAGTGCAATACTTCTTCATTTTCTCCAATTGAGACCGAATGTCCTTTTTCCCATCCTCAGATTCAAACTTCTGAGAATACTTCATGAAAGCCTTCTTCTTTGACTTGCACCAGTTCTTGTAGAATCTCCTTTTCACATCCTCACTCAAATGCTGGGCCCAGACAGTGTTCAGAGAACGGAGACCAGCAGGTGTCCTGATATAGCCAACAACCCCAACAACAACAAGGGGTGGTGTTTCTATGATTGTAACAGCTTCACATGTTTCTTTCTTATGGAGCTCTGAAAAACAAATAATGGAATAACTATTGAACACATATGCAGGAGAGGTGACCACTACTGCTAGTCCAATTCAATTTCCAATATCATGCATCAAATTATTCTCTTCACCAAAAGGATCAATAAAAAAGAGCTCCCTTCCAAATAGAAACTAAAGAAAAAGCAAAAAAAACTCACTTGATCCTGGCTTTTCAACTTCTCGGACAATATGGGTCATACCAGCTTTGTAACCTAGGAAAGCAGTTAATCTGCAAGGTTTTGTTGGGTCATCCTTGGGAAAGGCCTTCACTGTAACAACATCAAAAAGAACAAAACTAAACTACAGGCAATGAAAATACATAAACCACCCGATCTCCAATCTCCAACACCAATAACATAGAAACCATATCATGCTTAACTGTGTCAAGGATTATTCTAACATTACACTGCAAGGAAGCTCATCTAAGTTCAGTTTTCAGATAGGAAAGTAAAAAGTAAAGGTTATTACAAGGGTTAATAGATGGAAGTTCAGATGGTCTGTCAGTTTTGTCTCACTTGATCCCTCCTATATCATTTAGTATTGAGATAACCCATAATCAATTACTTTGATGAAAACCGAAACTAAGTTTTTCACTAGAGTAATGTTTTTGCCTCAAAAGCCAAATCTAGAAGGGCACATTATGAATAATGCCGCTATACATGACAAGATGAAGATTGGACAAATGGCAATCTTTTTACAAACTCCAAATAAAAATTAAATCATGGACTTAAAATCATTAAATATCTAGAATAAATGCGTTAACATTAACTATAAAATCAATAAAGTAAAGGTTAGAGAGCATCATAAACCTTTTCCTCTATGGCGTGCAGCTCTTTTTCTTGGGAGAAATCCCAAAGAGCCATGTCTAGGGTGTTCAAACTTGCGGTGAGACATACTTCAATCTTTGTAATTGCGTCTGCAAGACTCATGAACTTTAAATAGCAAGAAAAATCCATAGAAAATAAAATATTGAACAAAATAAAAAGGTTCAAATACTTGTAACTAAGTACCATTTACATAAAAGTACCACAACCCATTAGTCAAACTATGGGAGCCAAACAAATACAACCACTGGGGACGATAAATATCAAAATCAAATTGATCTAACCTACAAAACTTTATATAAAAAAATAACGCAATTTAGTACAGATAAAGGCTATCAATATAAGCTAAAATAAAATAAGTTTAAATCATAAGAATAACTAAAATATTTACCTCAAATAGACTGAACCCCGATTCAAATTATTTAAAAGAGACATATATAAAGGATCTTTTTCTCCAAACAAAATATGCTATACAATAGTAGTAGTTTAAACTATAGAAAAACAATACTATATATTGCCTCATAGAAATAACCCCTGAATGGCAAAGATATAATGATATTAACCACAAAACAGCAGCAAATGAAAAGAAAAGATTTTTCCCCAAAAAACCAAAGGCCTATGGCACAGATATAGTATCGTGCCAATTCTCGGGCTCATTGGTATTTCTTTCCAAAACCCAATTCAGGATATTGGCAAAAAACGAGCCCTTTCTGAGACTCCAGCCTTGATTACTCGCCATTTTTCTCTTATAATAAGATAGGGAAATTTCCTTTCAAATCATCGCCAGGTAATGTAGTAAATATCACCACATATTCACCATCACAAGTCCATTACAAAACAAACAAATAAACAGATAGCAAATAGTAAAGCTCGACAAAAAACTATTCCTTCTTCATTACTACAACAAAAAAGACGAAATACTACTAGATCTGCAACATGCGGCTAACAAAACAAAAATGGAAGTATTCAGATAAACAATGAAGAAATTGAACGATAATACCTCGAGATTAAGCAGAGCAGTTAAGAGGGAGGCGGTAGCTTGGGATATGTGTTGTGGATGAAAACCCTAGAACTGTGCAGCCCAGTTTTTATAGTGTTTTTTATTGAGATTTAACGGCTGCGATTAGGTCCTTAGGGTCGATATTGTCCGTTAGATGGATGGCTGCTTTTGAGCTTAGGGTTTTCATTTTTGAAGTTTTGGTGTGGCCGTAAGGGAGACGAATCCAGCAGTAGCATCCACTTTGAGAAAGTAAAATGGGTTTCAGATTTACTGGTCCAGAAAATTAAGGCCCATTTACAGTCTAGTTTACTACTATTGTTAATTAATCACTCTATTTTCGAAACATAATTAATTACTACTTTTATTTTAAAAATTAATTATTTAGTCCTTCACATTTTAACTCTGTCAATAACTGAATTATTAGTATTGAGATAACCCATAGCCAATTACTTCTATTGAGTGGTACTAGTAATATGGTAGACTGGATAGCATTTGATAAGATTGGACAAGTCGGTGTAGTTTTTAATCGAATTTTATGCATATTGAGATTTTGTATAATTAAAATTTTTTTTTTTGAGATCCTAAATTTTTTTCTATTCAATTTAAAAGTTATATTTTTATTTTATTGTTATTTCAAACATTAACCAATGATAATTTGCTATGTAAGCACACGTAATAAACTCTAATTAATAACAACTTACCACGTCACCAATTCAATTATCTAATTTTAACCTACTATGACACGTGATAAGTTATCATTAGTTAGAGCTTACCATATATACTTATGTGATACATTACGATCGAAACAATAATAACATAAAAATAGAATTCGTTTTTGATATATACAAGATGGGAAATAGTGTTTGGTGTGCAGGATAAGGATTAAAATTTGTGCTGTCCAAAGTTATTCTAAAGGCAAAATTCTTGTCTTACCATGGAGATGAAACAAGCTTTTTGTAATCTGGTCATGGGTCATCACCATAAGAAGTACAAATTTCATTAGTTCGTAGCTGCCTGAGTCGGTGCAAAGAGCTGGTAATGAGTGGACGGACAGTTCTATAAACATTTCAGATTTTGGGGTTTAATTTGATTACTTTGAAGTTTGAATAAATTGGAGACCTAATTAAGGATATTGTTGAAGACTCGTTCATGGGGGTCTCGAAGAGCAAATGTCCATTGCCAGATAATAGACTGGAATGACAACGAACTTATGTTGATGTAAGAATCTATTGTACCAAACTGTTAACGAATTATAGCTCAATTGATCCTAGTATTAATCTCATATTTCTTCATCCAATCAAGCCTACATACCAGAAGCATCCTCATGCACTTCTAGATGCAAATTTCATGTTTTCTTGAGTTTCAGAGGCCTCTTTATACCCGCAAGAATTTCACTGATCACCTCTACACTGCTTTGGTTCAAGCAGCATTGACGGTATGAATCTCTATTCAACGCATAAAGTTTACGAGATGGGTTGAGTGATGCTGACATAGCCATCATCTACAGGATACAACTTGAACTCCAACAATTCTGAGCTGAGCAGCTTTCTTTCTAATGTTAGAGAAATTTCAGAACAATCCAATGGTTTGGTGCGTCTGCAAAGGAAAATTATTGATGATCTCCAGAAGAGAAAAGCAAACAAAATTTACAGGGAATATCAAGATAAAAGATGTAATTGTATGCTGCAGAAAGAGTTTTTATAATTCTGCTACTTGTAATTGAATTGTGAAGCAGGAATTGTAATTGAAAAGACAAACAAGAAATAAACTGGGAATTTCATCATCCATGCCGCAAGAGCCACTATCTAACACAAGCAAGACTCTCAATATAGTGATGGGCTTTAGTTTTCAAGTTCTCCCTCCAGTATACTGATCCACCGAAGAAGAACCGCCCAATATCTGATTCTTCGAAGCTCTTATCTTTCAAGTTATGCTTGCGTACAATTGCCAACGAATTTGCATACACCAGGATCAACGGGTCCTTGTCACTTCCCCTCCCAACAACGAACAGTGCATTTCTGTAGCAGTCAAAACGAGCAGGAAGATCAAGGCGGTACTTAAGAAACCATCCCGAACGATCTCTACGCAACTGGTAGACATCAATTTGTGGATCTGAAGCAGTTTTATATTTGCGGACAAGGAGCAATCGGCCGCCTCCAGACACTTCAAAGCAATTAACCAAGCTGCTCTCACATGATGCACCAGTTTTCTCAGTTTCTCTTGATCGATATCGAAATATAAATTAGAACCACTCCAATCATCACTATGGAAATGTAAATCAGAACCACTCCAATCTTTGCGAGAACTTGTGACAGCCCTACCGAAGAAAATCGACAGGATGTGGATTGAAAGATCTGACCGAGACCCTCCATGTTCTAGCTTTTGACGAGTAAATTTGTATCTGATAACAATTTCCAAAAAACATGCATTGGCATACAGCCACAACTTTATACTCTAGTGATTTTGAAGGATCAAAGGCTAAATTAATACCTCGCAGAAACAGAATACCTCGCAATGAACAAGGTAATGGAAGCAGAGGAGGAAGTAAAGTATATTTCTTGCTATTAGGATTCCGGACACTTTTTTTTTTTTTTTTTTTTGAGGAATATATATGATCGTTCTTTCCATAGAAGCTACGAAAATATTTCGGAGGAGTGCTATCATCACAACACAGTAATAATCCATTACAAGATTGAAGGATTTTAATTTTTGAGAATGGTTTATTGCTTGCAAAAATACATAGATAGATTAATTAATTATAAAAATATGTGCAGATTTCATCCTAACAGTGCAAAATACCAAAGAATACCTTTTAATATTTGAATTCAAGCACGAAATGAATGCCCTACGCTCTACAGGTCATAGTATTCCAATAGTTATATTTGCAAATACTGATAAAGGTTAGTGGAAGTGGTGAGTATATGGGATGAGCATCTAAGTTAATGTCATGGAAAAGAGAAAAAATAAAAGAAAAAACAGGAAAGGCTACAATGGACCATGATGTCTGAAAGACGCAGGGGACCAACTGAGTCGATTGTGACTTGGAATTCCACCGATGCCAGGTGTGATCAAATCCCACATGGTAAAATGGGGGATATGATAATAATTATTATTATTATCATCAAGAGAATACTAATAGATAATTAAACTTTTAGATCATAATTATTTTTTAACATTCTTTTTTAGATTTTTAGAGATTTTTCTATTTAATTTTATTTTATTATTATCGATAAAGATCTTGCAACCCACTCAATTATTAAGCGTTAAGAAATTAGCATTAGTAATTAATCGTTAATGGGATAAAAAAATTATATTATCATGACTTGACTTTCTCTATAAACACCGTTATAAAGATAAAAAGTTACTCCGGCATTCTCTTATTGTAGAGGTTTTTTTTTAATTCAAGTACTTTAAATAAAAGATTTAAACTCGTGAGTGCACAAGCTCATTGTCATTAAAATTAAAAGTCTACTGGTTTTTTTTTTAAATAAAAAATTTTGATGTTGCCGTATGTTATTATTTTTATTCTTATTATAACAGTTTCCTTTTATTTTTAAAAATTTTTTTTGTTGTTGTGTCACGCATACCCATCCCAACGCAGACAGGCATGGATTGAAGGCTTGAGGGCGCACGAGCGCCTTTATGTTGTTTTTTTCTTTCCTTTTTAATTCATTTTCTTCCTTATTAATTTTTTTAAAATTCAAATTTCACCGTTAAAGTGCAAAAACTATATAACAAACCGTCACAATCATCATAAAATTGAAACTTTTTTACAGTAACTAAGATTTATTGATTAATATTTTACCATTTTATGTGCACACTTTGAAATTCATCTTTATTTTCATAATTCAAATAATATCTGTTACTCATTGAGTGGCAAAACATGAAGAAATAGTTTGAAATAATGCTTTAAACATGTTCTTAACCATGGTCAAGTTCTGTATGGCCAATTTCATGCGTCTAATTAATTTATCTTATGTATATAATTAGAAAAAAATATTTATTTTCATAGTTTATATGATAATCCTTTAAGAAATAACATAACAATTTAGTGGTTAAAAACTTATAAATTTTTAATTTATCCAATATAAAAATCATATCCTCATAGTACTGTTAAATATGTCTTGAATTTTATGATGATTCAACCCGTTTAGTTATGGTTTAGTTTGACATATTTTTTTATAAACTCATTAGAGTTTCTTTTAATGACTGAGGTATTTAAATCTATTGTTGTTCCTTTTTTGTATTAAAAAAATAGTAAAGATTTAGTTTTGAGCCACTATAAAAAATATTCTTGTATTCTCTGTTTTATCATCCAGTGAAAACTTCTCTTCTCGCCTGTGGATAGAGATCACTTTGATCAAAGTATGCAAATCTTTGTCTCGATTGTTTTTTTTTTCAATTTATTTATTTTTTTCATTGCTTAATTATTTATTTTGCTGTTTGCTACAAAATGGGAATCATAAATAAAAGAAAATTTTAATATAATTTCATTGAGGTATTTTCAAACGGAACCAACCTAATTTTCATGTACCACTTTGCAAGTTAATCAACAATCAATTTAAGGTGTGTAATTATATTTTTTAAATCTCCAAGAAATTTCACGTGTTAAATTGAAAAAAAAAAAAAAGAGTTTTGGTAATTTAGTATTTTTCCAATTTTAAAATATCCAACCATTTGCCTTTTTATCACAAAATTAACTTTTATCAATTTTAATTTAGCACTTTAAGTATGACAAATTTAAAAAATATAGTAGGTTTTTGGTAGTATAACCACAGCAAAGCACATACGTACATGAATGCTAGTTATAATATAAAATATCACAAAAATTTAGAGATCAAGGGCTTTCCAGTTTCCTGTTCTCCTTGCATGCGTTTTTCAGGGCAGACATGAATGCTAGTTTAACATTTCCATGGAGCACGTATGAGATCTTAATTTAGACCCAAAATCTTGAATAAAAAATAGAATCAATGTGATCTTCTAAAGTGATATTACTCTTAGCTAGGAAATTTATAATGGAACCAAAAGCAGTACTGTTATAAATATGAGCGATGATCAACAAAAAGACAAAAATGTTGCAGATCATGAGGTGTTATTTTTATCTTTGCAAAGACTTTTACAAAGGACAAGGTTAGAGACAACTCCAAAGATTTTCTCAAAAGAGCTTTTGTCTTGTTGCTCAGCAAATATATGTTATGGAGTAAATTTATGCTTTTGAGAGGTTAACTAGATTCCTTCGTAAATTTATGTATACAATACGAAAAAAGTTTGAAAATCCATATTTCTTTTAAAAAATAAAAATAAAGTGAGTGTGAGAAGTTTTTTCAAATTGATAAAATAATTAGGATATGAAGATTTAGCGTTGTAATTTGCAAAAATAACAATCAATCAACCAATTGATATGAAGTGCACGTAGTGAGAGTTGTGAGGAAAAAAACAAGCTAGCAAGATGTAAGTCAAATATGAAACAATAGATAATGATCAAAGTTTAAATATATTGAGTTTTAAATATTGTCTAGTGTGTGAGCGTGAGAACTTTAAAAGAGACAGAGAGTTTAAAGACTTTTTATTAAAAATCGGAAAGTTGGAATCTCCTCACAATGATGTAAAATTGATATTTATATTAAATTAAAAATAGTTTTTTACCGCTAAAATCATACTACATCACCCATGTTTGGATAGTCATATTTAAATTAAAGAAAGTTGGGTTCTTTTGGACAAAACTGCTTTAATATGCTAGTAAATACTAAAAAAGGAAAAAAAACATTTGGGTCTTAATTTATATTCATATTTGAATCGAAGAAAGTTGAATTTTTTATACTAATTACTTCAACTTGCTAACAAATGCTAAGAGAAGTAACAATTGAGTCTTTTTTTAACATGTATTATTTTGAGCTCATCAAGTCAATTTTCTTAATACATCCTAATGACAAAACATGAATATTGACCATATTAGAATATCCATATCCATTCTTCACGAGTTTAAAGCCTTGTACCGAACGAAAACCATTTTTAATCTAATTTCTTTCTTGTGTAATTTGGATTGCATGTCAAAACCAAAGAAAATAACATAGATTAACATGTAATAAAACTAATTAAAATTACTCAATTAACTTTAGTACAAAATCGAACATATACAAAGAGGAACATTAAAAAAGCATCACAATGTTTTTTCTAATTAATTTGGTATTTAAAGGAAGGATTTATCGTATGTCATTTTTTTTTTTACATTTATGATATAATTCTTTATCTTTTCTCTGTATATGTATATAAAGTATACATTTTTAAAATCTATTGTAATAAATTGAGATTTCAAATTTTTTAAGATAAGTACTGACAACTCTAAAGATTTTCTCGAAAGCATTTTTGTCTTATTGCCCAACAAATATATGTGGAGTTTATGCTTTTGAGAGATTAAATGGATTTCTCCGTAAACTTTGTATACAATACAAAAAAAGGTTTTGAAAACCCAAGTTTCATTTCCAATAAATAAAGAGGAATATCAAAAGAGAATCCCAATGTTTTTTTCTAATTAATTGGGTACTTAATTTAAGAAATTAAAGGGTTCATCGTATGCCAAAAACTTTATAAAAAATAAAATTGGAAACTTTAAATTCAGAGAGAAAGAGGAGGCAGTTTTCTTCTTGCAATACAAGTGCTTTAACCTGCTAAATAAAATTCCACAGCGGTATGCTAACCCATGCATGGAAGTGCTAAAACATTCAAAAAGAAAGGAAAAAAATAAAATAAAAGTTGATCCATTGTTCATGTCTTGTTAGCTTTATTTTAGTGTGTGACTCATAATTGAGAACTACTAGTCAGTGCTCTGCTACTATAAGGAGATGTGATCTCTCCTTTGTTTTGTCAGCAATCTAATTAGGGTTCCTTTGCAGAGTTTGTGAACACTTTAATCAAGGAGGTATGGAACCCCACTTAATTCTGCATCTCATCTACCTTTTAGTTATTTTATAGTTTTTGGTACTTATCTAACTTTTATTTTCTTTCTAATTTTATTTAAAAAAAAAGAAAGAAAAAACCGTGTCTCTTTTTATTATTTGGATTAATGGATTGAGAGAATTGGACTATAGTCACGCCCAAATATCTTCATTCGTAGCCTCCTTGGAAGTCTACGTTCAAACATTTTCATAGGCATGCATGGTGGGACTTGGGATTCATGAAAATAGAAAGCTGTACGTAGCAGAAGTCAGTCATTCCTGTTGTGTAGACAATAAAATTGGACTGTTAGTGGTATAACTAAAAAAAATGAACATATATATATATATATATATATATATATATATATATATATATATATAAAGCAAAGAAAACAAGAGACATAAGGGTTGTTAGGTCTTTTTCTTTTTAAATTTAA